CGGGTCGCGGCCCCTGCCCTGGGCCCCGCGGACCCCTGCGCTGTCCGTTGGGTTCCTTCGCCCTCCAGCGCGCCCCTGTCTCCGGCTGCCCCCATCTCTCCCTCCGGTGCACCCTCCCCCCTGCCTCTCTCTTCCTCTCTGTTTATTCTCTCCCTTGGCCCGAATTGTCGGTTTCCTGGCCCGTCTGTTATCTTCGCCGCCATTCGCCCCAGTCTCCCGTCTTCGCTCCTGTCTTCACTCCCGGTCCCGCTCCGGGCTCCGTAAGATGCTGTTCTGTGCGGAGCGGGGTTACCAGGCGGCGCTCCCCTCCACCCGCCCGGTTCCGACGGCCCCCGCCTTGTCTCTAGTCCATTGCACTGGACTAAGTCGAATAAAAACATTTCTCTCCTCAACAGTCTTAATCCATTTTGCTTGCTTCGTTGTAGTATCCGAGAACTGGCTTGTGGAGGTTAAGTAAAATTATAATTGTATCAGTTTATCGGCGCCACCTTCGCGACCTTTCCAAGCCACCGTTTCCACATGTATGAAGTATAACAACCCATCGAAGAATCAGGACGATTTAGAGATGAAATACTGTAGCTTCATTCTGAGGAGAGCGAAAAAGTTTGATAAAAGCCATTAGTATGACAAAGCCGATGAGTAGTATTTGTTCTCGAGAGTTTATTTAAAACAATGCGCACGTACTTACTTAAAACACAATTACAAGTAGGTAAAAATGAACCTTTATGATGGAGGGACTGCCAGTCATCAGCTTGCCAGTTGTTGGGAAGGATTTAGTTGGTTTTGGAGGTTTGGTAGGGGGGTAATTAGCATAATCAGTGTGTTTGGGGAAGGGGTAGAGACCAGAGCTAGGAAACCGGACCTCGCGTTCTGGTCTTAGCCCGCTCTAGTTACTTGTTACCTTTGTGTGAACTTTGGGCGGGTCACCATATTGGGGTTTTGGTGTTTTTTTTTAGTAACGATTTCATGGCACTTACTATACCCAGACACTCTACTGAGCTTTGCATGCATATTAATTTATCTAATCCCCATCCCTGTGAGGTAGGTATCCTTATTGTCTACGTTTTACACACGAGGGGGTTCAGGCACAGACTGGTTAAATAATTTGCCCAAGAACACCATATAGAAAGTGGGGGAAACATCTCACATGCAGGCAGCTGCCAGCTAGTCAGCTTGATGATGCTGTGGGACCTGTGAGAGTGTGGAACACCTAAACCACATCACCTTTTCAGTATCCCAGATCACATTCTAAATGTGTATGGACAAAAATAATGATTCCTTGAAAAACAGTGAAAAAAACTCACCATTCATTTGGCTTTTAAATATTTTGGTAATTCTTAAGTGGTTACTTTAATTTGACTAGGGGACCTTTTTAAAAAATGGTTATGAATCCCTTGTAAAATAGCTCCTCATTCATTGATGTACATCTGGATTTTTGTTTGTAGCTCTTGTAATTCATTTCAAAGTCAATAAGATTGAATTGTCTGTGCCATTGTTCACTTGTATTGTGAATAATTTTAAATTGCCTTAGTGTAGTCATGATGAAATTGTAACATCCTGAATTACTAGCTTTAGTCAGTGTTCTGAAGCTTCTCAGTTGTTGGGCTTTTTTTTTTTTTTAATGTTTTTATTGATTTTTAGAGGGAGAGAGAGAGAAGAACAGCAATGAGAGAACCATCCATCAACTGCCTCCTGCACGCCCCCTACTGGGGGTGGAGCCCACAACCCGGGCATGTGCCCTGAGTGGGAATCAAACTGGCAACTTCTTAGTGCTGTTCAACCAACTGAGCAATACCAGCCAGGGGCAAAGCGTCTTCATTTTTAAGGCCTGCTCTAAGGGATTGAAAATTCTTGTAAATTTGAGAAGTCTGGTTTAATAGTATTTTATGGAAGCAGTATTTGTTCTTTTTCAGTAAATTGCTGATTTTGAGAAATTCTAAGATGATTTCTAATTATCAAGGAAATCAGATGTTAATTTTTGCAAATGAACAATTTCCTTATACTAATAATAAACAATTTACTTATATAAAAATAATAAATAAATAAATAGTTTTATTATACGGTACACCTTAATTGCCACTAAAAAGAAAAAGCAGTTATATCAAGGGAGAATTCTTGCCTGGAAAAGGCCAACCAGTTTGCAGCTTAGAGGTCTTGCAAAGTGATATCTTAGAGAGTTTCATATAATGTTTGCCCTTAGCATTGTAGGTTTGGCTAATTAAGTCATAATTACCAAGTTCCTTAATGTTTTGTGCCTTCCTTTGCAGTATGTGTAAAATAAGATGCAGAGGTGCCCGACCTCACTGGGTTTTGAATAAATGAGTTATACAGTTGTCCTTCAGTATCCTCAAGGAATTGGTTCCAGGAAACCCTTCCACCACCACCACCACCACCACCACTGCCCCCCCCCCCCCCCC